ACCTGTTTTCGGTTGGTCGGGCTTCTCATATCAAGGAGAGCTTGGATCTTTTTGGGGTTGATTTCTATTCCTCTCTGGTTAACCATATACCCCAGGAATTTTCCCGAGGATACTTTGAATGAACATTTGAGAGGATTGAGCTTCATTTTGTACCTTCGGAGTATACCAAACATCTCAACGAGATGCGCTATATGATCTGAAGCGACATGCGATTTGACCAACATATCATCAACATAGACTTCCATTCATTTTTTTATCTGCTCAGAAAACATTCGATTAACCAGTCGCTAGTAAGTCTGTTAGTGTATGCCCTAGGAACCAATTGTGTTGTCGGTTTCATGACATTATATCTTGTAAATGTATTATGAATAAAAGAAAGTGTTCTTATTTCACATGTTGATTTTCTGCTTCATTTATATTATATTATATTATATTTAATATTGCATGTGAAATGTCCGGATGACATGGATCTTCAGAAGATCAAATCATCAAAGAATTCCCTACGCAAGTAATGTTAATTGGGCAATAACATTGTGTAGTAGACATGCTGAATGTCTCCATTGAATATCATGCGATGGTATTAGTGTGGGTGATTATAAGAGGTATGTCACTGATAAGAGTGTAATTTATATATTTTTTTATTCCTTCCATATTATGTTTTTTGTTATGTTTTATGCCTAGTTGAGTTGATTAGAGTTTATTTTGTAAGTTTAGCATATTTGGATAGACTTTATGAAATAATTGAGAAAAGATTAGGAAATTCCAGATTTTTTGTTATTCTGACCAGTGCTGCGTTTTTTAGGTTTTTCATGGAGTCAGATTTCTCGATTGCAAAAGTATTCTTCAAAAAAAGTAAAGTAGACGAATCAAGCCTTCCAAGAAGGTATTATGGGCGAGAATCTGAGTTCGTTTGGACCCTCATTAGTTGTTGCAAAACCAAACCTGAAATCCTATTCACAGAAGGATTTCCTCGCTGAGTATTGAGTCTTCGAAAAGGCCTAACTGGAGCTTCAAATATTTAAAATAGGTGATTCAAAAGCCCAAATTCATCTGCACATCTAGGACTACAACTTTTATGAAGTGACCAAGCCCAGAAAATTTCTTTTACATTGTGAGAATCCTGGTGCAAGCTGGATTACGAATTCTGTTTTCCATATCTGATAAGGAATTGACAGTTTTGGAAGTCTATCGTTTAGGAAAGGTCTAGGAAAGTAATTTTCATTTTTCCTAGGGCAGAATTGAGGTAAAACACATTATTTATTTATGAGTTGTTAGGTTAAACAAGGGGGGGAGAATGGCAGTGGAGGTTTTTGTTTTTGAGGTTTTTTAACTTTCTACGTCAATATGTGCGGCTGATTTTTCTTCTTCAATTCCAGGGGATTTTGAAGCCTGAATTCATGTCATTGGTGTAACTTAACTTTAGTAACATTGTTCTTAATCTCGTTCTTATTGGAATTGTTTATGTTATTCTGTTTTAATTGTTTATGATTTTTGTTTGGGTGATTTAGTAATGGCCTGCTAAATTGTTTAATCAGAATTTTATCTATTAGAATTAGGAATTCTGATACGTAATTTTCCTCTTTCTATTTTATGAGTAACACATGATGATAGATGATTACGGACAAGTTTTCAGTCTGTCACCTTGAATAACATAACCTAAGTTTAATAATCCGATCTTGCGTGATTGTTGCTTGGATTGATCTATTTTCCTAATTCTTAAGGCTGCCATTGAATTAAACTTAGAGAGCTTATTCTATATTGTTCAAGGGTTAGGATCTAATTGAAGAGCTTATTTCAGTAGTAACAATTAAGGGAAAATTCAGGTAACAGAGCTTGTTGTTTCTTAGGGTCAATAATTTCATAATAACGAGATAGAATAATGTTACGGTTAGTTCATGTCCATTCATGTTTAGGTGGATCTTGAACTGAGAACTGGTTGTTTTTAATCTAATATTTTCTACCATTGGAGATTTATTCGTTTCACTTTAGATTGCATTGTCTACAACCCCTTTCATTATTCTGTTGTCATGTTTACTATTTAGGATTTTATTTTATTTTATTTTTCTGTTGTTTTCGTTGTGGTTATTGGTCAGAATATAGGATTTAATCGAATCATTCCCTATGGGATCAACCCTTGCTCACCCTATATGCAATTTAGTAGTTAGGTTAGTAAGGTTTTTAATTTGGAGCATTTGGCAAGCTACCAGTCACTAAGGCATTAGCATGGATAAACGGTTAGTGAACTGTTTATCGAATACGACCGATTATGATGAATCACATGAATATGGTCAATGATGCATCGTAGGATCGTGCTAGTGTACCACTGATCCTTAGACTTGAAACATTACGGTTGGATTCAACATAGGATGCATATGGTGTATAAGCACGATACTAGTCATGTCTTGTGTAATAAGTCAATTTGGTCATATGTTATTCATGTGCGAGGACAAGTGATGGTCAAGATGGGATCCGTTAACTCAAAATAGTCTAATCTCGAGTTCCCAGACGAATGTCAATAAACATTGGAAAAGGGAAATCTCTGGCCAGAGTATAATGAATGTTAGATGAAAAGTAGTTTCATGTTGATGAGCTCCATTGTATCGATTGAAAATTCTATTAAAGATTAAGTTAAATGTTTTGACATACCATGAACCATTCTTAATCAAGATTAGATAACGGAGGGATTTGACTACACGGTATGTACGATCAGAATAGGTTCATTGGAGTTTACACTTCATTGTGGTTTAGGGGTTATGGAACATTGCTAGACGTCTACCATAATCAGAGGGAGTTTCGATTATAAAGAATTATAACGAAACATATCAAAATCAGATATTGGGCCCATGGCTAGATCACAGTGAACCAAAATGGTCACACATAAAACCAAGCTCAAGGAGAGAGAGTAATACATATCATTAATCAAATTAATGATGTTCGGATGTAAACGGTTGCATCCGAATTAATGTATTAGTGAGAAATGATTATCTATGGATAGCTAGCACTAACCAAAGGTAGGATTGTAAACGAGCCGAGCCGGCTCAGCTCGACTCGGTTAAAGCTCGTTTCGAGCTCGACTCGATTATTATCGTGTCGACTCGGCTCAAACTCGGTTTGTTAACCGAGTCGAGTTTGAACACAGTGAAGCTCGGCTCGTAGGCTCGCGTAAACACTGTGCACTTACATAGGGTGCTTTGGTGATTTTTAAAACCATTAGGTATTAAACTGATATTTTCCAGTGAAAAAAGTTCAAAAAAATGACAGCCCCCCCAAAGTGCAAATTCGTATAACACGATACACCAAATCAATTTCAATTCCCACTTGCCCTAAATCCCAAATCGCAAACAAAGACCCCCAAATCGCAAACTAGACACGATTCCTCGCCGTGAAATCGATAATCTTCGTCGCCATCTCTGATCTCGGCAACTGGAAAAAGAGGCCCGAAATCGTAGACACTCTGAAAATCTCTGAAACTTCCAGGTTAGTTTGCTATGCGTGGAGTGTAGCTTACTGGCACTTTTTTTTTTTTTTTTTTTTGATGCTTTTTGGATGAGTTGGTACATTTTCTTTCTTAAATGTCTCTCTACCTATTTGTTTGAAATGGGAGCAGTTGTAGATGCTAGAATGTTAGCAGAGATGGGGTCGACTTGGTTGAAAATTGTTAAACTATTTGCTTTCTTAAATGCATCTCTGCCTATTTGTTTGAAATGGGAGCAGTTGTAGATGCTAGAATGTTAGTAGAGATGGGGTAGGCTTGGTTGAAAATTGTTGGCAGGATCTGATAACTATTTGCTTTCTTGAATGTCTATCTGCCTATTTGTTTGAAATTTTCGCAAATGAGCCTCAACTCTCCTGTTACCATCAACAACTTAGAGCACACATTTCTTCTCATATTACATCCTTTGATTTGATCATACAGCCTGTACATTACATGGGATAAAAGCTAGGGCAAAGTTTTTGATACAAAAGCAAGTACTGAGAATTAAAGAGTTAGCTAAAACAAAGTTGGGTTTACTTCTCGCAAGCATTTTCTTTCACTTTGTTCATTTTACTAGAGTCATTTAGTATTCACATGGACCCTCATTCACGCCTTTAATCCACAACCACATGAATTTCCTCAAATGGATTTTCACATTTCAGTATTAAGTAGGGATGAAACATCTTCTACTTTGTGGCTGCAAGAACCGCTGGCCCTTTCACCTGAAATTTCATCCCACCAAATTGACAAAAATGGAAATGGAAATAATAGTGACCTCAATTGCCTACTTTTTTTTTGTGGGGGGGAGGGGTGTAGAGTGGTTCCCAAGAAAATAATATTTTAGACACTTTTATTTTTATTTTTTCAAAACACTGGAAGGAATAATTCATGTACATGAGTCATTTGATGTCACTAGATTCTTGATAAGGGCATGGACATTGACACATATACATATAGTACTTATTATCCAACAAATGCAAATGCATGAAGTATTCAATTCCAAAAACATTTTATATGTTTTTGGAAGTAAAAGGGATAAGTAAGAGTCGCTGCCATGTCTCAAAAAATGATTAATAAAAATAATGTTTTTATTATTGTTTTTATACATGTGATGCTAGAGGAACAAAATAATTGTGATTTATGTTATTTTTATCAAATTTTAAATAATATAATTTCAATAATTTTATGGTTGCTTACTACTGTTCGATTGTCTATGATTTTTATTTTTTTGATACATGTGTCTAACACTAATAATTTTAAACCACCAAGCAATGGCTTTTCAGTTTGCTTAATGGTCTCTATTGGCTTTTTGAAGCCCTCAAAAGTATAATTCTAACCCATGAAAAATATAACATATTTTTTTTTTTTAAATGAATATATATTATGTCAAGCAGATAACAACCACAAATGAACCAGAATTTATTTTATTAAGCATGTCAAAAATGAACCAGAATTATCAATTATATATTATTTTAACTTTATGATATTGTCTAACAATAATGGTTAATTCATTTTTCAATTGTAGGTATGGAATCGGGAGACAGTTCCTCAAGCACCCCTACATTGGATGACATCGACGATTGTGTTACGGTAAGAGCAGTCGATCGGGGTAACATTTATGGAAGCACATGTGATACCGAACAAAGTGTGAGTAGCCCCAAAAATGTTGAGGACAGTGACAATCCACTAGAGAGGAAGAAGAGAGCAAAGACATCAGCTGTGTTGTCAGAATTTAGGGAGGTGGCTCTCCCTGGTGGTACAAGGAAGGGAGAATGCATTCATTGTAAAACAAAGTTGAAAATGACTGCTAGTGGAAGCACAACACAATTCAATAGACATTTGAAAAGGTGTGCGAAGAAAACAGCTCACTTGAGGCAACAACAAATAAATTCCCCCTCTTCCAGTTCTCAGGGTGGCTCTACTATCCTGCCTCCTCCACGAGGCCAATTCAGTATGCTGAAGATGAGGGAGCTTATTGCACATTGGGTATTGATGCATGAGCATCCATTTTCTATTGTGGAGGAAGAGGGGTTAAACAACATGATGAAGCACGGAATTCCTGAATGGACTCCGATATTCCGTAATACTTGTAAGAATGATTGTATGAGAGTGTTTGAAAATGAGAGGCAGAAGTTGCTGACCCTATTGAAGGGTGTTAAGAAGATAAGTCTGACCATAGATCTATGGCATTCAGGCAACCAGAGGATGGAATACATGGTCTTGACTGGGCATTGGATTGATGATAATTGGAAGTTTAATAGACGGGTGTTGAACTTTATTCATTTCCCTCCTCCCCGTTCTGGTATTGCCATTGCTGATGTAATTTTCAAGTGTTTGATGGACTAGGGAATTGAAGCTAAGGTCCACACGATATCGGTGGATAATGCTTTAAGCAATGATATTACAGTAAAAGTGTTGAAAGATAATTTCCAAGCTACGGGGAAGCTCATATGTAGGGGCAAGATGTTTCGTGTGAGGTGTTATGCACATATCTTGAACCTGGTTGTTCAAGATGATCTTTATTAGATTAGACACATTATTAAGGACATCCGTGATACCGTGGCATATATCAATTCATCGAAAAGTAGACTAAAGGTGTTTACAAAGATTGTTCAGATGCGCCGATTGCCATTTCGCAAGCTTATTCTTGATTGCAAAACACGATGGAATTCAACATATGATATGTTGACAATGGAAATGAAATTTAGGCATGTTTTCCCTTGTTTGAAGGAGAGGGATTTGAGTTATCATTATTGTCCCAAGGAGGAGGATTGGGACAAAGTTGAGAAAATTTGTTCAATTTTAAAGGTGTTTGGTGGTGCATCGAATTTGATATCAGGGAGTGATTATCCAACATCAAACTTATTTCTAAATCAAGTTTTTACAATAAAAATTATGTTGGATAGTAAGAGTCAAGATGGAGATGGGTTTATACATACCATGATTTGGAAAATGAAAGAAAAGTTTGACAAATATTGGGGAGAATGTAATCTATTGATGGGTGTAGCTGCTATTTTGGACCCTAGACTAAAGATGAGGGTAATTCAATGGGCGTTCCCTAAGATATATTTTGAGCCTGAATCGCAGGCAAATATGGATGTTGTTTCAGATGCCTTGTATGAGGTATATAGGGAGTATGTTGATGCCAGTCAAGCACTAACAGCTGCCCGTGCTTCTGTATCTACAAGGGGTGGAGTTCAGGTTGTTGGTCAGGGGTCGGGGGCAGCAACAGAGAGGGCGGATGATTGGGATGATTTTAGTGAGATTTTGGATGTGGTTGAGACGGTTGAGCCAACGAAATCAGAGTTAGACTGTTACCTGGGAGAGGGATGCCATAAATGTGTTGGGGACCTTATGGCGTTTGATGCTTTGACTTGGTGGAAGGCTAATTCAACAAAGTTCCTTATCTTGTCTATCATGGCTCGTGACATATTAGTCATCCCTATTACTACGATTGTTTCTGAGTCTACTTTCAGCGTCGGCAATAGCGTTATTGACACGTACCGATCGTCGTTGACTCCCAACACGGTGGAGATGCTCTTATGTGGATGTGATTGGAGCAGGACATTGAATGGGGTGAAGAAAGGATGTAAAGTAGGTTATATACTTATATTGAATATTGTTTTTATTAAATTTAGTTATTACTTTATATTTATACTAACTAAACTTCAATTACTCCTCCTTTGTTATTTTCAGGAAGAGCAGCAACCGTTAGAGATCAACCTTCCTATCCCGTAAGTTCCTGGGATTCAGTGCATGGTTTGGCTGTGGTAGGAGGCATGCATAGGTAAAACTTTTATTCCTTTTGCTTTTGTTTCATGATTATAAATATTTTTCTCTTGTCATAGTTACCTTAAAAAATACTTACTAAATTGAACATTTTCTACAAGCAAGGGGAAATTGTGGTTTTTGTCAAAGACAGGCCTACTGCAAACTACTGGTGGATAGTGATTTTGATTGGTGGACTGTATTTTCATACCTTGGAATGTTATTTGTATATATTCAGAACTGTTTTTTGATTTTGTAAAGTAATAGGCATTTTGTAAAGTTCGAAACTGTCATGGTTAATTCAATATTGGATGTAAATATGAAATGTTGTATGCAAGAAGATTGCTGTAAAAAAGGGGAAATTGGCTTGATCAAACCTGGAGAAATGGTGGTTTGATCGAGCTCGCTAGCCTTATCGAGCTCAAGCTCGATATCGGGCTCACGAGCTCGTTATTGAGCCGGCTCAGCTCGACTCGAACTCGACCAAGCTGGAGTTCGAGTCTCAATTCTGAGGCTTGCTAGGCTCGAGTTCGACACTGTTGTAAACGAGCCGAGCTCGATAAGCCAAAAGCTCGGCTCGGCTCATTTACAGTCCTAACCAAGGGTAATAAGGATTTATTAAATATTATTATTGAACTGGATTCAATGATGGGGGACAAAAGTGCATTGGTTTTATTCTAATGGGTTAGAATATTTAATGGAATTAAAATTTGGTCTAATTATGAATTAACCATAAAGCCAAGGACTTGACATAAATGTTTATTCTCAAGTTAATTTTAAATTGTTTGAGGCCTTCCCAAAACAATTTAAAATTACACTTTGTGCCAATGGTATATAAATTAAGTTTTACACAATTTTAATTCAATTGAAACAAAAAGCAATCTCTCACTTTCTCTCTCACTCTCTCGGCTCTCTCATCTTTGGCTTGGGTGGACTTCATTTTGAGTTTCTTCATTCTCTTTTGAAGAATCTAGAATCCAAGTTTCAACATCAAGCTTTTAATAGCAAAAGGAGTTGGTAATATTCTATCATTTTCTTACATTAATATGTTAATGTTATAATGGTTTGTTTTCTACCTTATGTCCATCATCTTGATCATCATTTTCTCTCCATTTCCATGTCCAAAAATGCATGAATCCCAACAAAGTCGCCCCAACGTTCTTTTGGTCAAAGGGCATAACCTTATAGCAATACAACCCCTAATCTGTAACAAAGGAGATATGCTCTTCGTCCAGTGCGTACATCAGAATCTGATTATATCCCGAGTAGGCATCCATAAAACTCAGCAGCTCGTGCCTGGAGGTGGCATAAATGAGCTAGTCGATTCTTGGCAAGGGAAAGATGTCCTTCGGACAAGCTTTGTTAAGGTCGGTGAAGTCAACGCAGGTCCGCCATTTTTCGTTAGGCTTCTTTACCAAGACCGGGTTGACAACCTAGCTCAGGTAAAGTGCCTCCCAGATGGATCCGTTTAGGAGGAGATTATCTACCTCAACTTTCAAGGCAACATATCGCTCTAGATCCATTGCTCTTCTCTTCTGGTAGACCGGCCTTACCTCACTATCAATATTCAGGGCATGGTATATAATATTCAGGCTGATCCTGACCATGTCAGCATGAGTCCATGCGAATACGTCGATATTTTTCCTAAGGAAGTTAGTCAGGTCGTTGGCGAGCTGGGGGTTGAGATTACTCCCGATTCTTAACACTCGGCTCGACTCGCTTTGATCGACCAATACCTCAGATAGGTCCTCGACCGGTCCACTGCAAGGGTATTCATGGATGCGAGGATCCATGTTATCCTCAGCTGGGCCAGGCTGTGGCTCAATCCTGCTGATCGTCATTGCCTACTCAAGGATGCCGATTGGAGTTCCTTTTCCCTTGCACGCCATCTGCACTGCCTTTACATAGCAGTCGCGAGATATGCGTTGAGATCCACTCACTTCCCCTATCCCTGTCGGGTAGGAAACTTCATCTTCATATGATAGATTAAAGTGACTGCTTTGAAGCTTCATAGTAGAGGTCGTCCCAAGATGTCATTGAAAGCGGATAGACTGTCCACTACTAAGAACTCAGTCATTTTTGTCATCTCGTTGGTCTCTCCCAACGTGATCGGGAGTGAGATCGTCCCTTTAAGAATCAAATGATTCCCAGTGAAACCGTACAAAGGGATAGAGGAAGGCTTCAGATCTTCCTCGTCCAGTTTCATCTTCTCGAAGGCTCGCTGGAATAAGATGTTCACGACACTTCCATTGTCCACCAACATTCTGTGGACCTTGCACCATCCTATTTCAAGCGTGGGGATGATACAATCACACTGCGTCTTTCTCAGAGAAGGTGATTTCCTCCTCCCTACGAACCTTGGCGGGTCGCGGCGTCGTGCTTATCACACTTATGAGGTCATGACGGGCTGCGCGAGCATACCTTTCATGGGCACCTCGAGAATTCTCTATGAGGTGTGGTCCTCCAAAGATGATCCCTACACTTTAGAGACATTTGCGACCATGATGCTTCTTTCCCGATTCCTCTTGATTTTTCTCCCGAACAGGAGCAGAGTCATCGACATATTCTTTGAAGTGCCCCTGCTTAATGAGGTCCTCAATCGCTTGCTTGAGGGCCCAACACTCATCGGTGTGGTGCCCATTATCTCGATGATAGTGACATTATTTTTTATTGTTTCTAGCTAAAGGGGGATTTTTCATGGGCTCGAGCTCTCTAAGCAAACCAGCCTCCTCTGATTTATCCAAAATAGCCGATACTAAGGCATTCGAAGGGGTGTATTGACTCTTGTCACGATTGCAACGAGGAATTGGGGCATAAGATTTATTAGGCTCGTATCGCTGCTTCTTTCCTTTTCTCTGATTGTCATTAGCCCATCTGCGATCAGCCCTCCTGTTCTACCCCCGATCGAGAGCACTGCCCGAAGGACCGTAGTCGTGGTGGTTAAGTGTAGCCATGGAGTTTTCAATGCGGAGGTACTTTTCAGTAAGGTTGTAGAAGCAAGTGAGGGAAACATGGTCCTCAGATTACAGCTCCTTCCACAAGTCTATCTGCGGACGAACTCTTGTGATAATGAGAGTCCGAACGGACTCTTCGGGAGTGTGAGCTACTTTCTGGAGCTCCCTGTGGAACCTGTCTATATAAGATTGAAGGGATTCATCCCTCTCTTACCTTATATTGCTCAGATAGCTTAGCAGCATTGAAAACTTCTTGTTCGCCTAGAAGTGCCTCAGAAATGTCGAGCTCATTTGAGGCCACGAGCTGACTAATCCTGCTGGGAGCGACCTAAACCATCGCTTGGCATGAGAGGTAAGGGTTACCGCCAAGCAACGACATTTTGCCAAGTCATAGACTTGGTGGAGTTCCATGAGATCGTTGAACTCATACAAATGATCCTACGGATCGGAGTTTCCATCGAATGCTCGCATGTCAGGCATTCTGAATCTTAATGGGAGGGGAGCGGCTAACACTGCCGGAGAAAATGGAGGCACCTCTGCGACCTGCTCTTGCTTATTTTGCTGAGCCTTAAGTTGATCCAAAGCTCGTTGTAACTTCTCAATCTGAGGCAGTGGAGCTATTTGAGGATCACTTTCTGCAACATGGGTTTGACCCTCACGGTTGGGGTTGAGGAGAGACTGCAAATCGGACTCCTCCTTGCCTCGGCCGATAGTTCCGACCAATCTCGACACACGTTGGCTGGAGTTGTGTGATGGCATTGAGTGATTCGAGGAATCTTTCCGACCTCCACGGTGGTACGAACCGACCCGCGAACGGTGGGAATCCCCTACACGATAACGATCAAAATTGTCACTTTGGCGATAATGGGAATTTCCCCGCCTTGCACTTTTGTGGGAGTGCTCGTGCGACAGCCGTCCCGCGCCATGTCACCGAGTCGCAATGCCACAGGTATTCTACCCGGGGCACGATCGATGTTCACTAGTCCCTCAGAGCCTTTGGGTCCGTTGTGCACCACTTGCTTTCCCTTTCTCTGACACGCTAAAGTGCGCGCGGTATGGGCTTTCACGCTTTCACGCGACCTGCAGGCGTTTTTGGCGGTGGCACCGGCTCATTGGATTCGGGTGGCACGACCCAATCCAATCAGTCTAGCCTTTGGCCGACCGTCTAGAGAGTATTATTGAACCTCTCCAGGTAACTCATGACGATCGGATCAAGCCTTGAGCTTGAAGGGATATCCCCAATGATATTCTGCTGGGCTGGTGGCACTTTGGGAGAAGTGTCCTCCTGTACCTGGGGGATCTCTTCATTGCCATAATTGGTTCGCTCAGATTCGAAACCACGAGCCATTTGCTGTGGTAGAACCTATTAGTCAGAGATTTTCCTCATGAAGAGCAAGTACTAAATCAGACCTTCTTTCTAGCGCCAAACTGTTGATGCTGGATTTTGACACAAACTATTTGCACATGAGAAATGCTAAGTGGGCTTAGAAGTCACACGCGATAAGAGAGAATTTAATAAAAAAAAAAAAAAAAGGTGAAAGGCGATGTTTAAAGTGGTTCGGATGCTCAAAAGCGAATCGTACGTCCAATGATATTGTATTAATGAGAGTAAGGTCAGGTTGCGTTCAACGAGCTGAGTTACAGCTTAGAGAATACAAGAGATAGATAGATAGATAGAGCTATTCTAAAGTGAAATTAGCAAATCCCGCAAATGAAAGAGGAGTCATCTATTTATAGTGGGATTAATCAAGGTAATCATTACAAAATCTGTAAGTGGGTGGGTACCGTGCAAATCCTTCTCTGCGTCCCATTGTTCACCTGCCCGAATGATTTCCTCGACTTGTGCAGGGATTGGACACGTGGATGATTTCCAACCATCAGCTAACCTGGCATTCACCCACTACACTGACAGGGGCATGCCACTCACGTCATCATGCGATGTGACTGCGTCTGAACGGTCGTGGAACCTTCTAAGTTTTGACCATCCCATGCTGACAAGACTCCGCGTCAGCCCTA